ATATATACACACTGTATATAAACTGATTTTTGCACATCTTGAACCTCCTGGAAAAAAAAAACTGGATTAATACATTTTAATGTTCAGGAATAAATTCATCCAAACTATTTAGAGGACATTCCAGCTCTTTTCTTTGAGGAACAGGCTTTGTCTTTTTCTTCTTCAACATTTCGTTTTTTAAACTTTTGACAGCCCAAAAAATAAAATGTGTAAATTTTCATTTTCTTAGATTCATGTGTTTGACAAAAAGTCATTTAATGAAGACAAATGTTTTTGTTTTAAATGTATTTTTTTCTCACAGCAGTGTCTGCAGCTCTGGCACAGTTTTCCATCTAAATCGGCCCCTAACTTTGAAGTCCTCCCCTTTGACCCACCCTGTCCTCGTCACAGACAGTCAGTGAACACAACATGGTGGATGTGACCAAATGGCCCATTTTCAGCCTGATGGGGCTTGAGGAGCTCTCCTCGATAAGGAAGGCCTGCGTGTTTGGTTCGTCTGCAAACGAGGCCATTTACATCACCAATGATGATGAGGTGAGAGGTCAGAGGGAACAAATGGATTAGTTACGCAAGAGATGATGTCATCTTTTCACCATTACTTAGGAAGTTATGCAGTTCATACCATCTAGTTTAAAGACCTGTTGTTTCAGCATGTTACGTCATCTTCACTGTATTCTACCTTTTACTGGCAGACTCCAATGACATTTTTATTTAAACATCTATGTTGCTCCTTGAGTGAAAGTTGCTTGAGTGTGCTGTTTCTTGGATGGGGGTATGTCATTCGAGTTGCCCTTATTTCACAGTTGCTAGCTTGTGTTGATGTTTGTGTGACTGTAGTATAACCTGTGCCCTACTCAGCTCTCTGTTTCTGCCTCTGTTTGGTGATGATGATGATGATGAGGTTATCTTTCCTGCACTCAGGTGTACGTATTTGGACTGAACTGCAGTAACTGCCTCGGAACCGGGGACAGCCAGAGTACAATTGTACCAAAGAAGCTGGACATTCTGAGCGGCAGGAAGGTGGTGAGCCTGAGCTACGGTAGTGGACCCCACGTCCTGCTGGCCACAGAGGGTAACTACACTCCTTTCCCTCCAGAATTGAGTTAAAAGGCGCTGCAGAGTGAGCAGTTCTGGTTTTTTTTTTTTTTTTTTTTGAAATTTTTTCAGATGGAGAGCTTTTCGCCTGGGGGCATAACAGCTACAGCCAACTTGGAAACGGGACGACCAATCAGGGAGTGGCTCCACTGATCATGTCTGCCAGCCTGCTCTCTAAGAAGGTCACAGATGTGGCCTGTGGCTCTCACCACTCCATGGCTCTGACTGACTCAGGAGAGGTAAGTGTTCAGGGATGTATATTAATATTGACTTGGATTGCTGTCTAACTGGTAAATAGAGCTGTCACAGGCGATGCAGCTTTGTTTAGAGGCAAAGCTCAAATCATATGAAGTCCAATCACAGCTGCAGCTGATCTGCTCAGAGCTAAAAACAATAGGCTGAACAATAAGGCATCTATTGTGCTTCAAAGGTGATCCACAGCAAAGCTGCATTCCAACTAAAATTAGGTTAGCACACATTTTTAATTCCAGACCTTTAAAAGAAAACTAATGCTTGTTTTGTGAACATATTTAATGAAGAAGGGTCAATATTGATGTGAGATGATGGAGAAAATAAGATGCTAGGTTTTGTTAAAGGTACTGAACCTAAACAGTTTGTATGTAGTTTATTTTGTATTATTGTGTTAGAAATGGTTTGTATCGGAGGCTAGGGTTCCCCCAAATGTCACCATGATAGTTTAAATTTAGTGCAGTCACACTAATTTCAGTTAAAACATAATGAAATTCTATTTTGTTGCTGCTAATTCTCATGAACACAACTGGAAACTTGGTTCCTTTAATGCATAATTAATGTTGAGTTTAGACAAACAAGCGAGTAAGAATTAATAAGATTTCCTGACCTAATTTTTAAAGAACATTTTTATGACTGGATTAAATAGAAACATTGCCTTGTTTAAACTTTGAACATTGCTTTTCAAAGAGGGTTTGACACCGTTAATCATCTTGTCCGGCAGGTGTATGCATGGGGCTACAACAACTGTGGGCAGGTGGGCTCTGGCTCCACGGCAAACCAGCCCACGCCTCGGCGAGTGTCCAGCTGCCTGCAGAACAAGGTGGCTGTCGGGATCGTCTGTGGTCAAACATCTTCTCTGGCTTTGATGGACAATGGAGAGGTGATTTTTTTTTTTTTTTAATTCATTTCTTTTTGAAGTTAAGGCCATGATAAATAAACGGTGTTTCCCTGCTCTGACTCCTCATCTACGCAGGTGTATGGTTGGGGCTACAATGGGAACGGGCAGCTGGGAGTCGGAAACAGCGGGAACCAGCTCACACCCTGTCGACTTGTACCTCTGCAAGGTGTGTGTGTGCAACAGGTGAGACTTGACACGCTTGGATGAACCTCAGTAAATATATGTTGAACAGTCTGTTACTGGTGAAAAACATACATAACAGTAAATTATTGAAAGTGTATTTGTGGGCTTGCAGGAATATGTCTGTGGATATTGAGTTAATTTCTTGCTGTAAGGAAACTATTTTCATTTTTTGGTCAGTTTTATTTAAGTTAAAGACCTAGCTTTATTTGAATGAATGCATATCATTAATTCGTTTGCTAAAGTTGATTAGTTGTAGCAGCCATCTCGAAGCAGGTTCACGCCAAAAAATAGTCAATTGTTGACTGAACTTGTACACCCAATGATTACTTTCTGACAGATTTAATAACATTTGTTTGACTGTTAGCAGTATATTTCAGGAACCAGACAAAGGGAATGAATATTATTGCCTGCCTTTGACAACAGGTGATAAAAACATTCAGTGTGTTGCCTTCCAGACATCTCTTTTTTTTCTGAAATAATAATTAAAATAGTGTAAAAGTTGTATCTTTTTAGTTGCATTTTTCACAACTGAAGTTTGTTTTTGTTGGTCTTATTCTCCCAGATTGTTTCAGGCTACGCCCACTCTCTGGCGCTGACAGACGAGGGGTTGCTTTACGCCTGGGGAGCCAACACTTACGGACAATTAGGCACCGGTAACAAGAGCAACCAGCTGAGCCCCGTTCAGATCATGGTTGAAAAAGAGAGGTGAGAGCGTCTCACTGGACTGGGATTCCTCCGGTCACTGTAGCACCACCAACTCACTCCTCCTCCTCTGCGTCTTTAACAGAATCGTAGAGGTCGCTGCATGTCACTCCACACATACGTCGGCTGCCAAGACCCAAAGTGGTCAGGTGTACATGTGGGGCCAGTGCAGGGGCCAGTCTATAGTGCTACCTCACCTCACGCACTTCAGCTGCACAGATGATGTGTTTGGATGCTTTGCCACGCCCTCAGTCATGTGGCGACTTCTGTCCATGGGTAAGAGATGAAACCTGTGTTCCAGTGTTGATGGTTAGTTTTTATATGTGAAAATGTCTACATGATGTTTGATGGAAAATAGCCAGTTAAGGCCCTGTCACACTAGACAACTTAGGCCAACTTATGACCATTTTAAAGGCATTTACATTGAAGGTGGAACTGAAAAAATCAACAGGAAGCTTCTTTTCAGCGTGTACATAATGTAATTCGAATATCTGATCCAATATATAACTTTTATTAGCAATTTAAAAAATCTTTCATAAGTTGGCATAAGTTGTCAAGTGTGACAGGGCCTTTACAAACATTACAAGATGGCAAATACTGACCAGGGTTATTATAGTTAACTAAAATTAACTAAATAACGAAAACTGAAATTGAAAAAACCTTTTAGTTAACCAAAAACAATAAAAACTATAATAAAATGAAAAAACGATAACTAACTAAAACTGTAAAAAAAAATTTTTTTTTTTACAAAACTAACAAAGTAACTAAAATAATAGAATATCCTTAGCTTTGGTATTTGTCAATTTATTTTGAGCCCTGTGGATTATTAAAAACTCATTTTTTCTTCAAAATGAGCAGTTTCACTGTGGGCAGCTTACGGCAAATTATGGTCCGT